TGTGTGTGTGTGTGTGTGTGTGTGTGTGTGTGTGTGTGTGTGTGTGTGTGTGTGTGTGTGTGTGTGTGTGTGTGTGTGTGTTATTATTACTACTCTAGTTCTATTCATGATTGCGTTTCAAGACCGAAAAAGATTTCTGCGCGCGGTTTACAAAATTGGATAAGTATATATAAATTCACTCTGAAATATTTGAGCACTAATTGTAAGATCCTCTTTGACCGAAAATAAGATTATTTCTCTTAATTGATTTTTTTCATCGGTATAATACCAATTATTATTTAAATACGTAACAAAGTCTGAACGTGTGTATTAGAAATCTGTGATTTCTAACATTTAACCCACCTAATATTACTTTCTTTTATTTGATATATATGCGTTACTTTTACTTAATTTTTTTTCAATTTAAAACGAAATCACTTTTTAACGTCATCATCATTCACAAATATAATTAATATATTATTAATAAATTTTCGTCGAACACGAGAACAATAAAATCGTATAATATATCGATACCTATATTTTTCTTTGTGCCTCGAGAGCTCGAATAACGCGAAAAAAAGTACAGATACCAAGAAGATCTATACGATGACAAATACACGGCATTCCAGTCGTACGACACAGAGGTTCTCACATTTTTCACGGCTGCACACCACTGACTGCGGATTCCTGAAATGATAAATAGATCGTCCCGTCGCGAATAAAACCGACGATTTTATTAGATGGAGTTGAGCAAGAACAGACGCGCGCGCAGCGTCTGTAGAGGTTGGTTTACGATAGCATTCTAGTCACACACATCAAAGGTTCTCAACCAAGCGCACAGTAATATTATCTCACGGATAGAAGCTACTCTTGCAAATTTTTGCAATAAATAAAATGTACGCATTTCATATGTATGTATGTGTGTGTATATGTTTATGACAGTTACAAATATATACAACATTAGATCCAGAAATGAACGAGCTTAGCTAAATGAAAAATCAAAATAATATCTATGCTTCTTATACGCTTATGGTTCTTTATGATCGTAACTACGCGCTGTAAACCGATCTTGTTGATCGCAATGTGCCGATAGATTTCATGATATCGTCGTTTCAGCGGTTGATCAATGTATCTTTTAGCCAGTACTGATCCACTAGGTGGAGTAGTCTCGTTCGTACGCGAGACATCGATATTAACATTTAGCAGCAAAATACTTTTATTTGCAAGATTGTTAATCTATTCTTTATATTTTTTTAAAAGATTTTATAATAATTTTTTATAAAAGGATCAAAGTCACATCGTTTTATACTTTTCGAGATTATATTCTTGATACATCTTCGAGTAAATTCTAACTTATGGAATGCAAAATGCAATATCGTGTATCGTAGAATCAAATAGCTGACATAAAGAATTGCTTCTTAATTCACGGAAAGATTCTGAAACAATACTTTCTGCCAACTACGTCTTCTTTTCGCTTCCTCCTGAGTCACCGCTCTCCTCGTCAGGTTTCGACTACCGTCTCCTGTGCGTTTCTCTCTTCTCTTCTTCCGCGGTCGAACCTAAACTGGTTCTCTCGGGATCGATGCGGAGTACACAACACAGATCGACCGCACCGGTCATCGATAGATTCGAATGCCTTTCGTTTCGCCGAGAAATCTCTCGCGAGATCGCCCGATTACGCGAATACGACAGATCTGTCAAATCCTCTCTTATACATCGATATTCTTTTTAAAATTAAGCCTCGGGCGTATACACGGAAACGATTTTGCTGAAGTATATATCAAAATAAGTATAGGAATCTCAAACGTGATGTGCAATACTACAAAATTACTTTTTTAGTTGAGTGTAATATTGCACATCACGTTTGAGCCAAAAAATGTTTTGGCATTCTAAAAATCAGTTTGAGCGTTCTACACAAATATTTTGATGGTCCAACGAAATTACTTTTCAGATCTGTATTTGAATTTTTAGATATTTCAGCAAAACTGTCTTTTCCATGTAACATATAAGACAATCGCCGAGACTGTCGCTATGTTGTATTATAAAATAAAATATCGATGTTGGTGCATAACATATTTTTATTGTTTCTTTATTAAAAATAGTAGCGAATGAATGTCTATCTCATCGATGTTGGCGATATATGTGTGCCAAGCTTGATATGACGAAATAATAACGCCTGCAGTTAGAGGAGAGCCGCACGTTCGCGATGACGTTAGGCGTGTGTATAGATTATATAGTGGACGCACTTACATATATATAGCAGAGAGAGAGAGAGAGAAATACCGCTGGGCGCTTGGTGTGTATACCGCCTGAGGTCAATATCTCCTGTCGATAGAGAGAGGACCGTGTGTCGTATCGTAAGTACTGCAAAGCGACTCGCATTTATACGAGTATAAAGGAGGATCCTGCCAAAGGTCCAGCGTTCTCGAAGATATTATTCAGGCGTCTTATAAATATGAATTCCCCTCGTCGTTTTGATCGAGGTTGACGCACTTGAGCTTAAGTATATAATCAGAACTTAATCGAAGCTAACACGAATCAAAATCTACATTCTACATTTTAATTTCTTTTTATTTAGAATCTCTAAATTTTAAATTTTTTTTCGCCGCACGGAAAGAACAATTTTTTGTAGAGTATCTTCAAAAGCTGTAAGATTTGAAAATAATTTTATTGGACTATTAAAACAATCCTGTATAATTCTTAAATATAATGAGTAATACTGTAAAAAGTTTTAACATTCTAGCAACTTGACATTACCTACATAATTATTTTGATAGCCCAACAAATTTATTTTCAGATCGATGACTAGCTAAATTTTTAGACACTTCAGCAAAACCGTCCCTTATCAGAAATAAAAAGAAATGTATTTAACAATTTTGAATAAAAGGAAATTAAATGTTTTGTGCTTCGTGTTGCTTCGATTACCTAAATTATAATTATACCGCTTAAGCTCAAGTGCGTCAACCCTGGTTGAAATGACAAGGAATTCGTATTTATAGTCGACTCGCGCTCGCCATTCTAGCGCGAATGACTAGAAAGCTCGTGTTTAACGTTACCGCTTGTCAATCGTATATAAAGTAACTCGTGAATCAATAATGACAGCTCTACTTCACGCGCGCGTGCACACCGATATGATAGAACGTAGAAACGCGCGGGCGAGGAAGTGTACGTTTTTCCTGGCGGCGTGGGTGGAGGAAGCGGAGCGGTTTCTTCTCGGAAGAAGGAGACCCGCCTCTGCCTCCGTCGTAAATCTGTCTTTCGGGCGATGACGGGCGCCCGCGCGAATTTATGCCCCGTCGCGGAAACTGGGCCACCGCGCCGCTGCGTGCCGAAGCGTACGGCGGGCGGCTGCGGCGGCGAAGACGGATAAAAGTCCGCCACTTGTTGCTGCTTCAGCGACGCGACGCGATATTCCTATAACGTGAAACGGAGCGATTCGAGCGAACCAGTGACTTGCGAGGAGATTCCGCGAATGCGCGCGCTCTCGTCGCTCGCGGGAGGAAAGTAAAGGGGTGACCCAATGGAAAAGAACGCGGCAGAATCTGCTCGAGCTATCACCTTCAAGTTCCTTCTCCGAGCAATCTCGCTTCCCTTCTATGATGATATCAAACGTTTTATTTATAAACTCCACATACCCGTTGTGTACTCTTTAAATCTGAATTAATTAATAATCACTGACATCAGTCCCAATTATGTCACTGATAATCAGTGAAATTTAACTAAAAAATCAATGAAACGTGGAATCTCTAACTTAGCTAATCTTTTTTTCAATTGAATTTCACTGATTCAGATTTAGAGAGTAATTGAAATATTACGTAA